AAATGCTATTTCAATGCAAGTTGTTGTGAATCAGAATACAACCCCTGGTTGGTGACTTCAATCTGTTTCTATTTTCCCAGTGAACTGTGGAGGAGTTGGGTCAGGCTGGTCGGTCAGTAAGTGTGAGTAGAGACCTCCGTTTTCTGTGAGATACTCCACAGACTGCATCATTGCGTGGTATTTGAGAGCTGATGCCTCCGCTGTGCTGTGTTCCTCACCCTGGGAGCTAGCTGGCTGTAAGCCTCACCGGAGAACAGCCTGCCATTGAGCTCTGGGCTTTTACCAAGTCAACTGGGTCAGGCAATAGAGAACTCTGTCACTAAAACAGCTCCAGTTCTTGAACACAGCCTTGTGTTTCTTCAGCCCTGTTTGGTGCAATGTCCACCCTCCCTCTGGTACTTACTCAAAGTAGACACTCTGCCAGTGCAGTACAGAGGGAGTGCTGCCCACCCAGAGGTTAGCCAGAAATGTTGAATTGAGGTGCCAGCTGCTCTCTCGGTGAATGTAAGATCCTGTTGCAGTGGCTCAGAAGAGTAGGGGAGCTATCGGCAGTGTCTTGTCTTGTGTAGACGACTATCAGGTCATTACCCTATAGCTAACTGTGGGATCTTTCTGTGCACACTGTTTGGGCTTCCCACTCTAAAACATTAACTGTACAGCAGTGAAGGCTTGCTGGCCATTGGTACTTTGGGTTGTCAGGAAGTTGTGAAAGACTGGGGTGTGAAAATAATCTTCTTAAACTTTCCCTGTCTGTAGTAATATCCCCAAACTCAAGGCCTTCACTAGGACCTGTTCTAGGTCAATCCTCTCCCTTATGTCCTCTCCCCTCTGTGAAGCATTTGGAATGTTTCTAGTACTTCGACTGCTGTGTAAATGCAGGGCAGTGTTAATCTCCTCACACCTTTTATTTTTTTTGTCCTGTTATCTCTGTAGTCAATGTTGTAAAACTGGAGCCTGGATGGTGGGAGCTGACTCTTCAGAACCACCCCCACAGGATGTGTCCTGCAGCTCCCTGGAGGCTTATAATTAAGTTTTATGACCTTGCTTAACGCCCAAAAGGCAGATTGATCAGCATGAGCCGAGGTGCTGGAGTGTTGGCTGGTGTCCCTGCCAGAGGCAGTCTGTAAAACCTGGTTATTATCGCACTTAGCGTAATAACACAGCTGTGTCTGTGTCAACTAACAAATGGAACTGTGGTACTGAACAACTCGGATGACAAATCACTTCCTGGAGCGCTCTCAATTACACCAAAATGGAACAGGCCCCCCTCACCCACCTTCGGATTTGAAATTGTTCTCTCTCACTAACCTGTGTGCTGTAAAAAAAATTTTTCTTTAAACTGCAATCAGCTTTTGGGGATGTAAGTCTCCTTTTGCCTCGGTGACCTCTGACTAATGTATTGAACTGTGTTTATGGTCTCCCCTGTTTTCTGGTGTCCCTGTAATTTATTGAGCCGGACACGGATGTCCCCGTACCCACGAGTGGCTGTGCTGTAGCAGAGTAACTGCCTGGTCTCTCTCTCTCTCTCTCTCTCTCTCATATGCTCTCGGACACAGACACACGCACGTCCCTGGGTGCCACGCTGACCCTCCGGCTGCGCAGCACCCCCTCGGCGCTGACCCTCCAGGTGCGTGGCGCTGGAGTGTGAGCTGGAATTTGAATGTCGTCTCTGGAGAGAATCTTGAGGGCAATGTCATTCAGACTGGCTTAGGAGTGTTTAGCCGAAAACAACACCTATAATTGTATTTGTGTGCAATTTGCCACTAGTTACTCGTCACACTCTCAAAGCTGTGTCTTATTCTGGGAGAGTTTGTAGATACTTAGTGTGGGGTCACCGTATAAGACCTTTTGCAGACTCCTCCTGTTGACTGTCTGTTAGCTAAACAAGGGCAGGAGGGAAATTTAAAGACAGTTTGCTTTTAGAATTACCAACTGAAGGAATGTAATTGTGCTCCGTTTGTGTTGCTGCCTCTCATCGGGCAGTTACATGTTTCCCCATGTGGGAGGGGTAGAACCCTGGGCTGGGAGGTGATTATTGTTTTTTTTTCTGATGAAGGGTCCAGACCCGAAACGTCAGCTTTCCTGCTCCCCTGATGCTGCCTGGCCTGCTGTGTTCCTCCAGCTCTACACTGTTATCTTAGACTCCAGCATCTGCAGTTCTCACTGTCTCATTGTTAACTCTGTTGTTCCTTTACAACAGTCGAGTCTCTCAAAGCTAGCTTTCTTCTGGTTAACACAGATGGAAGAATGAAAAACAGTTGACTTCCTGCCTGATTACTGGGAAACAGTTTATTCTGTGACAGTTGCTGAAAATTGTGCTCACTGAGCTGTTTAGGATTTAATGCAGCGTTTCCTGGTGCCTCTGGGATGTCCTTTTCAAATTCACTGGTGAATTCAACCAAAGGGCAGAAAACGCTGCCATCCCCAGGAGATGGCTGGTGTTGCAGCAAGTTCCCAGTCTGTAAATGTGACTGAACCTTTTTGCAGACTGTTTCCACAAAACTGAAGCATTCTCTCATTCAGCAACTGTATATGTCCTTTTGTGAACCGGGACAACTCTGGGAAAATTATCACAGAATCGCTGCATTATTACAGTGCATTATTACAGGAAGCTATACATTCCATCCTGTCTGCACTAACCCGAAGCATATTGGCTTGAAGTCAAACTCCTGTCCTTTCCCACATTATTCTACTCCAGATGATCAGACAATAACGTCTTGAATGTACCAATTTGAACCTGCCTTCACTACATTCCCAGGTAGTGCATACCAAACCCAAACTACTCACCTGAGTGAAAATGTTGTTTTCTCAGCTCGTGTTTGCTTCTCTCGCAAATCACATAGAACGAACACTGTTTTAATGAGTTTGAGTGGGAACCGTTTCTCCCCATCCACTCTGTCTGGATCCTTCATGATTTTGAAAACCCTCTGTCTGATCTCCTCTCAGCCGTCGCTCCTCAAGGAGAACAGTCCCCAATTCTTCAATCTATTCTCATCACCTGAAGTTTCTTATTCCTGGAACCATTCTTGTAAATAACTTCTGCAATCTGTCCAATGTATTCACTTCTTTAATGGTGTACCCGGAATTGTACTCAGTACTCGAGCTGAGATTTAACAAGTGCCTCATACAAATTCAGCATCATCTCCCTGCTGTTATAATCTATGCCCCTATTTCTGAAGTTTAGAATATTGTATGTTTCACTGACAACTCTGTCTATATGTCCTCCTGCCCTTAATGACTTATGCACAGATACACATAGGTCTCATTTTTGTTGGTTCTCCATGTCCATTGCATCAAAATGCACCACCTCTCAACTCTGTGTTAAACCTCATCGGCCACCTCTCTGTTCAATTCACCAACTTGTCAATGTCTTTTTGGAGTTTGAAAGTCGTCATCTCTGTTTATAATTCTTGCAGGTTTCATGTCATCTGCAAACTTTTAAACTGTCCCCTGTACACCAACATCCAGGTCATCAATATATCCTTGTGGGAGGGGGGAAAACAAGGATCTGAGTACAGAGCCTGGGAACTGGAATACTGACTTTTTGGGTTGGAACCCTTCTTCTGAAAAATTTTGTCAGCTTTCCTGCTCCTCTGATGCTGCCTGGCCTGCTGTGTACCTCCAGCTCCACACTGTGTTATCTCTGACTCCAGCATCGGCAGTTCTTACCGTCTCTGGGAACTGGAGCCCTGGGTGGCATGATGGCACAGTGGTTAGCACTGCTGCTTCACAGTGCCAGGGACCCAGGTTTGATTCCACTCTCGGGTGACTGTGTGTAGTTTGCACATTCTGCCTGTGTCTGTGTGGGTTTCCTCCAGATGTTCCAGTTTCCTCCCATAGTCCAAAGATGCACAGCTTAGGTGGATTGTGGGGTTATGGGGATAGGGTGGGAGGTGGGATGCTCCTCAAAGGTTAGTGCAGACTTGATGGGCCAAATGGTCTCTTTCCACAGTAGGGATTCTGTTTCTCTGATTCCAACTCTACTATAAACCTTCCTCCAGTCCAAAGAAAATCCTTTGACCATTTACTGTGTTCTATCCCTTTGCTCCTATCCCTTTCTTTCCATGGCCTATAATTTCCCTCCGAAGTCTGTCATGTGGCACCGCATCAAACACTTTCTGGAAATTCACGTACACCACATCAACAGTGTTGCCCTCATGAATCTTTTGTTACCTCTTCAAAAAAAAATTCCAGATTTTCCTTGCAGAAATCCACGCTGACTCTTCCAAATCAACTCCGACTTTTCCAGGTGACTGTTAATTCTCTCCTAAAATAATTGCTTTCAATTTGAATGTCTGATGTGGTGTTAACTGGAGGATTTATGCCTGACTTGGACACTCCTGTCAGTTCATTGTGCTGTCCGACACTCTGTTGAATTTTGAATAAGGGAGAAAAGAAGCTGGAAACCGTGCTCCAAGTTTGAGTCAATCATAGAGATGTAAAGCATGGAAACGGACCCTTTGGTCCAACCAGACATACTAAATTAATCTAGTCCCATTTGCCAGCTTTTGGCCCATATCCCTCTAAACCCTTCCTTTTTATGTACCCATCCAGATACCTTTTAAATGTTGTAATTGTACCAGCCTCCACTACTTCCTCTGGCAGCTCATTCCATACACACACCACCCTCTGTGTGGAAAAAGTTACCCCTCAGGTTCCTTTTTAAATCTTTTCCCCTCTCTCACCTTAAATCTATGCCCTCTACTTTTTGGACTCCCCTACCCTAGGAAAACAACCTTGGCTATTCATCCTATCCATGCCCCTCATGATTTTTATAAACCTCTATAAAGTCACCTCTCAGCCTCCGATGCTCCAGGGAAAATAGCCCCAGCCTATTCGACCTCTCCATATAACTCAAACCCTGCAACATCCTTGTAAATCTTTTCTGAATCCTTTCGGGTTTCACAACATCTTTCCCACAGCACAGAGACCTAAATCGAACACCGTATCAGAACCTTGCTGCCTTCCCTTAGTGACAAGATTTTATTTTTGGATTTCAGGTGCAGCCAGGTTTTGGAGAATTGAAGCGCTCATCGTGATCACTGGGGAGTAGTTTGCAAGCTCTCTGTCGTCATGGAGAATGAACAGAATCCACCTCCCACCAACGCTAACAGCAGTAGCCGTCCACAGGTCCCCCAGATCTCTGTCTACAGCAGTTTGCCTGAGCGCCAGGCTGTCCAGGTAAAGTACTGATATCATATTGTCCTTTTCTCACAAGCTTCCATCTCCAAACTACTGTGTTTTAATGTGAACATAAGGCAGTGTGTCTCCAGTTATTCCAATAACCAAGAATTGTCAAGTTGACCATAGGCAGAGTAGGCCATTCAGCCCATCGAGTCTGCTCCACCATTCAATGAGATCGTGGCTGATCTGATAAGCCTCACTCAACTTTCCTGCTGTATCCCCAGAACACCCCTAATTCCCTTACTGATAGACAGACAGGTTTTTAAAATCAATCTCAGCCTTGAATATACTGAATGAGCCAGCCTCAAACGCTTTCTGCAGTAAAGAATTCCACAAATTCACTCCCCTCGGAGAGAGAGGAGATTGCCAAGAGCCCGTTGGTGATTGTGAAGAGGCAGAAGGCCAGGATGCAGTAGGAGTGTCACCAAGTAACGCTGTGTGTTGGAAATCTGAAATAAGGTTTAATAATTGTTTTAGAAACTGGAAGAACTGAGCAGGTCAGGCAGTGTCAGAGAGAACAGAGTTAAGGAGCTGAACCTTGGTTGAGTGAGAGACAACAAGGTGCAGGGCTGGATGAACACAGCAGGCCAAGCAGCATCATAGGAGCAGAGAGGCTGACGTTTTGGGCCTAGACCCTTCATCAGAAAAGGGGGAGGGGAAGGGGGTTCTGAAATAAATAGGGAGAGAGTGGGAGGCGGATAGAAGAGGAATAGAGGAGAGGATAGGTGGAGAGGAAACAAACAGGTCGAAGAGGCGGGGACGGAGCCAGTAAAGGTGAGTGTAGGTAGGGAGTTAGGAAGGGGATAGGTCAGGTCAAGGGGGCGGGATGAGGTTGGTCGGTAGGAGATGGAGGTGCGGCTTGAGG